AGAGAGAGAGAGAGAGAGAGAGAGAGNGAGAGAGAGAGAGAGAGAAAGAGAAGGGTGTTTGGGGAGCGGCACGCAAAGGACAGTCAAACCGCTCGTTGACTCTACCGAATTATTCTCAAATTCTCCGTTCCACCCGTCCAAGTATCGCTGTAAATTGATGTATAAACCCCCGTCCACCCTCCTCTCGTCTCTTTGATCCACCCCATTTAGAGCACTATAAAGAAAGCGGGGATAAAGGAAACAAAAGGCAGAGCATTAAAAAGAAGAGAAAGAGGAGAGACCTTTACCATGGTCATGACGCCGAGAGAGCAGCCAGCGGCCTGCGGCAGAGGAAGGGCAGCTGGTGGAGATGGAGGTGGGAAGGAGACGCATTTCCGGGGGGTAAGGAAGCGGCCGTGGGGGAGGTACGCAGCGGAGATCCGGGACCCGGGTAAGAAGAGCCGGCTCTGGCTCGGGACCTTCGACACGGCCGAGGAGGCCGCACGGGCGTACGACGCTGCCGCCCGCCAGTTCCGTGGATCCAAGGCCAAGACCAATTTCCCTTACCCGAGCCCCGGCATCGTCGTGGTCGCCACGGCGGCTGGTGGTGGCAGCCCCAGCAGCCAAAGCAGCACGGTGGAGTCGTCCGGTCGCGAGGCATCGGCCGCCGTGCCCCCCCTTGCGATCCCGCTCTCGCCCTCGCTCGACCGCGGCCTAGTCCACCGCGGCGGCGCGCGATTCCCCTTCCAGCCATTCCCCGCCATCGCCGCTCATGCCATGCCGGCGGCTCACCCGTGCTTCCTCTTCGACTCGATCGTGAGACCGGACAAGTCGGCGACGGCGGCGATGAACCACCACCGTCTGACACTGTGCCCTCCCATGATGATCGCCGGTCTACACGGTCGGATGGCCAGAGGCTCCCAGAGCGACTCGGACTACTCTTCCATCGTCGACCTCCGTTGCTACCAGCACTCGGCGCCGCCGCACAAGATGTTCACCCTCGATCTGGATCTGAACCTGCCGCCTCCGCCCGAGATCGCTTGACTCGCCTTTCACCTCGCTTCAAATCTTATCCCACGCCGTAGTTAAAGCAGGTCCTCTAATCGTCCCTTTCCACGTTCAAGAATGTCTCTCTTTCGGATTAGGAGATGAAAGAGGTGTGAGAAAGAGAGTTTTTGTAAAATAGTTGCTTTTCCTTCACCGAGAAGGAGATCAGTAGTGCCATCAGAGGAGAGATTCCGACCTCGGTGTTGTCGTCTCGCTCTTTTTTTTTCTTCTTTCCCCCTCTTTATGATTGTTACTAATGGAAAATAAACGTTCTTTTAATTTTATTCTTTCTCTTGTTGGTGGTATTCTTATTATCTGCGACGGTGGGAGGGGGGGAGTGCGTGGGTTGATGCCTCCGCTCCTTTCTTCCTACCTTTTCTACCTCTCATCCTTATCTATTCAATTATTATTATTATTATTATTATTATTATTATTATTATTATTATTATTATTATTATTATTATTATTATTATTATTATTATATCTTTCTTTCTTTAACGATTCATAATCTCCTTCCTAAAGACACAAAAAAAATAAAAAAGAAAAAAATGAAGACAACCTTTGCTACGAATGATCCACCACCCCCCCCCCCCCTCTTTTAACGCCGAGGCGGGGCTCTTCGTTCCTGTTCATCTTCCGCATCAACGTGCCCGGTGATGGGAGGCAGCGGTGAGTTCATCAGTGTGGGGCCGGTTTAGCGGGCCAGTAAGGGAGACGGGTAACCGTGAGAAAGGGTGTAGTAGGGAAAAAGTACCGCACGCTGGAGCGAACGTGCTGACGACCGCCTGTCCTCGAATCTACGAGCTAGGCGGTGTACGCGCCCGTCGCCCTCGTGGTCCCAAAAGAAAAAGGAAGCGACCGCATAGTTGCTCGCGTACGGGCGTCGTCTGGGGGGAGGAGCCGTGGTGGAGGACAGCGGTGGGCCACGGCCGCAGTTGAGCGGCGCGGCGGCCGCTTCTCGCGGGGCCCAAACGTTTGGATTCACCCCCATCCGACTTTTCCCGACCGGCGACTTGGATTTTCGGTCATTCCATTCACACCCGCGACGGATTCGGACCGCGGAGGTGGGTAGGGCCAGGAGCACAAGGGCGTCGGCAAGTGGGGCCCGTGCGGTGTGGGTGGTGCGGGAAGTGGGGGAGGGTTCCCACGTGCGGCCACGCCCTCGTATTAGTGGGTGCCGGTAAGGAAGGGGGGGGGGCGGTTTGTCGGGGTTCTCGTGGACAGCAGGCGGGCACGCGCGCACGGCCCAACCAACGCCCTGTTTTCCAGCCGTATCGGTTGGAACGAGATGCGGGTTGGGGCGGCCGAACGCGGACACCGAGATCTGGCCATCCCACCACTCTTTTTTGTGGTGGAGAACCTCCCGAGAGCATCCCACCTCCCACCGTGGCCACGTCCGTGATAGGGGGGGCGTTCACGTCTACGTGCGCGCAGTCAACATACGAGCTGTGGACGTGGGCTGTACCGATAGAAAGAAAGGGAGGCGCAGCGGGCAGGATGACCGCCTTGGAAGCGGTGCATCTCCAGATGCACGACACGTCGTTGCAAGCATCGATCTGGCTCTTCGCCCTCGCAGTTTGGTTGGTGTCTGAGCCCCACCACTTGGATCGCAAAAATTAGTCATTTAGTATCGAGTCATTCTAATACTTGAGGGATATTATTATCTTGGTGTCGTTAGATCAGTTCCCAAGGCAAAGACGGTAGAGTCAACTCGTCCATATATCGATGGTCAGTGAACATATCTTCCTGATGATTATGTCAAATAAGGACGATCGGAGATGCATCGTCTGTCAAGATAGGAGCGTACCTAAAACAGATAAATGATGGAGCTTGGTATCAGTCGTCTGGATATGAGAACTGTACCACACCATCTAGGATTAATACTCCCTACGATTAGGAATACAAACTATTTCAAAATCATGACTGAGGGTGACGGGTTATTGGTGATCGACGATGCAATCGAGGGGGGAGCCGAGACAGCGGGCTTAATCACAGTGTATCGATGGTCATCGCTAAGAGAACTCTTTGGTAAGAATAATTATACAACTCAAAGTTAACATTTTCCATTTGGTTGAAGACACTTATAATACATAGTTACTCTCATGCTAATTTGTGTCTATTATTGCCTTGAGTGTCATTGATAAAAAATTTGACATGGCTTGGTTTAGTTCCGAAGGCACAGATCCATCCCGGGGGCCCGCGTGGGAGAGGTAGCCCGAATGGATCCATACTCCCGCTCTTGACGATTGATCCGTAGTCATTTCGAGGAACCACTTATATATTAGAGGAAGCTTGGGGTGGTCTCGAGGTGCATCTTGGCCTTTTGGAAGCGCTTAGTGTCGCTTTGAGGTGCTCCTTAGATGCATCGGGGTCTTGCATAAGTAGTTGACGTCAAGGGGATGTCCTGACCTAACCTCTCCAATGCTCAAGTCAATAGAATAGGTGGAAGGGGTTTAGCAAAGCTCAAGAGAGTTCAAATATAACCCGCTTGCCCCTTTATGCACGAACGATCAGCAGCATGAGGTTAACGATAGATTAGGGTGTCCCTTACCTGACTTAAGGATTATTGATCATGGTAGTTGATGAGTGCGTCATTTGGAGGATGATCATGATGATATACTTTGCCAAGGCTCCTGGCCTATCTGGGACAGGCAGGGGATGGTCCCTTGTAGAGTTCCTCCATAAGGAGGAGCTGGGGATGTTGAGTCATGTTGCCTGGTTTTAATGTGTGGGTCATCCCTTAGCTATGATTGAAGATGTCAGCAGGCCTTATTGGTCTTTTTTTCAAGGGTCAAGACAAGCAGGAGTTGGCAAACTATTTTCCTATCGGTAGTTGTAGAGGATTAGCATGAGTTGCCCATGCATTTGCTTAGGTGACTTCTTCAGCCTAAGTGGTGGGGCGAGTTGGTAGCAATGTTATTTTTCCTATCAATGTCTATAGATTTAATTATATATTTAAATATGAAACTTAAACTTACATATTTGTCATTGTACCTAACCCTTATCGAATGGCTAGCAAGGGGAAGATGTTGAAATTCTAATGAACTTCAATTATACTAAAAAATTATAATTTAAAATGATAAGACGGTGAGAACATCAAAAGTATTTTAAAAAATATTATTAAAAATGAAACTTACCAATTGTTAGCATTTTTGGATGAAGAATAACAGAAGTGATTTTTGGATTTCTAAACAATCTATAAACTCAAACTATTTGGTGGTTAAGTGTTTTTTCACGGACATTGATAAGAGGGACATATGAAAATTATTACAGCATTTCGAGAGGGATATATTTATAGGATTCTTTTTTTATTAATAGCTTAGGTTTTGTTTGCAACTATTTATTGAGCATGTGAAGAAGTGCAATTTAATGTTTTGGAGAAACACCAATGTGTTATCCAACTCGAAGAAGTACAAGTTTGAAAAACAACCCGAATAAGTATAAGTTCAATAAACAAACCCTCGTCTACTTTGATTTCATCTTAGGCAGAGGTAAATCCAAATTGATCCAAACAAAGTCAAGGCATTCGGAGAGTGACCGATCATGCAAGTTTGGAGCTTCATGGGGTTATTTTGCCTATATCTCGTGAAGCTCATCTAAAACTTCCTACACCATTGCACTCCTTCACCGGGGCTGGTCAAAACTTTGAGTGGCTGATGAAATATGATGATATGTTTCTCTCGCTAAAGAGGAAGATCAATGAATTTTTGTCCTAACCTTACCGAATCTGTAAAGACCGAGTTGGAGGTAAACACATTTGGATATGCGATCTCTCTTTTGGTACACAAAGTTGAGTACCCATATGATAGGGGATACATTGTCATCCGATATGTCACCCCCACGAGAAAAGAAAATAAAGCTTCCTTCTCATCATTTATGGTATGAAAGACAATGATAAGATTCCTTCTCACCATTTATGGTATAAAAGCTAATTACAAGTTTTCTTCCTATCTTTTACAGTGAGAAAGACAATCACAAGCTTCTTGTATACCTTTTACAATCAGGTATAAAAACTCGGCCTCTGAAATAAAAAGAGGGGACTTCCTTGAGCTATTAATGTTCATACTCATATAGCTTAGGTTACTAACTTCAGCGTCAAAGGCATTAAGTTGGGAAACCTTTCCTAACCTCGGTTTTCATGCAAGTGGCACCTTGAGAGCTTGATATTCACACCTCGGAGATACCTCAGATAGTCCTACGTAGGAATTCGAACCGATCGGGTTGACTAAGACATCATTGATATTTTTTTCTAATATTTTGGTGCTAGAAAGAGGGCTCGATGTTATAAGAATATCCACCTACTAACCCTTTTAACAAATGCTCGAGCAAAAAGGCCCTACCCCCAACCTATGGTACTTTAATTCAGGGGGCACTCCTTTCGCACGTGGACACATCTATCTCGACACAAACATTGATGTAATATTGGTGTTCATTCAACGACCTAAGGGTGACCCCAAGTCACTTACTCATCCCTGGTGAGACATTCTTAAATTTCACCCAACATGTGCAAACGCTAATGGGCATATGATGCAAGCTGTCATTATGCACTTGTCTCAACTAACCCAATAAGCGACACCACCACCTCAGCCGCAGCCAGTGGCCTAATCGACATCGACACCAGTGCTTGTCAAGGTTCCCCCACCTAACGTAATGCCAATATCTCAAGAGTGCCCGAGGCCCATCGAGCCATCGGTCGAGCAAGTACCTTGTTCCCCAATTATGTAATTTAATGAAATGGCATACCACCATCTTGTTCCACCCGAATTCTAAACGTAATCGATAGATTTGATAAATAATTCCTTGAGAATCTATCTATAATAAATGGATCAATGTTTGAAAGAAATATGACAAGCATTCTAACAATCTAGAGAAATGGTTAATCAACCCCACTTTGAGTCGATCACCATTCACTAACGACATTCAGGAGGAATCGATCCTAGCCAACTTTCATCTTCCTATCATTGGAGGCCTTCGATGGTAATACCTATCTATTAGAATATATTGCTACTTTCTATGCCCAAATATTGTTATATGACACCTTAGATGCTTTAATGTATCATACTTTTCTAACTATATTAAGAGGCTTGACATAAGAATGGTACACCTGTTTAAAGCCACTCTCTATCAGTTCTTTTATTTAGCTTGCTAGAGAATTTGAGCTTCACCACCTCAGGAATATATGCATGAAGTTGGGGGAGGGGATGCTCTCGAACTTCGTCGCTCAATTTACCAACCATATCTAAGGGGTGCAAGATGTACACCCACCACTTATCATACAAACCTTCATGATGGAACTCAAGTCTTCTCGTCTTTTTTAATCATCAATAGAGAGGTCACTAACGATGGTACCCGAATTACTCCATCAGGTCGATCAATATATAGCGTGGTAGAGATAAGGGTCTCAAGTAAATGCAAAGAGATACACAAAAGGTCAAGACAGGATCAACTACAATCCCCATCAATCCCGGGTTATTATGGCATGGAAGAAGTGATAGAATTGCCTTGCTCGAGGCCCAAATCAACCCCACTAAATATGACTCGGACCAAAGTCCTTTTACAAATAAGAGAAGGGATTCCTAAAAAATCCTTAGCCAATGAAGACTCTATTAAAGAAGAGAGATTGATCCAAGTATTATCGCTTCTATCGAGATTATTGTCATGATGTGAAAGATTGTTGTGACTTGAAAGAATAGATTAAATAACTCATTGGTCGGGGACCTCTTAGGAGGTTCGTCGAAAGGGACCATGAGCCTTCATCTCAACCCCAAGGTCTAGTGGAAAATATATTAACGTTATCATTAGTGGGGTAGCCTTCGAAGGAGTTAGCTCCTCGACTCATAAAGCTTATGCCCGAGCTACCATTGAAAAATGCTCACGGATGGAGGATGACCTTGAGATAATATTCAAAGAGGAAGAGATGGAGTACCTTGACTTGAACCATGATGATGCCTTGGTCATTTTTATGAGGATGGTCAACACTCTAATAAAGGTCATGATTAATATATGTAGTTCTACTAACATGCTCTACTTTCATGCTTTCCAAAAGTTTGGGATCTTGACCAATGACTTTACCCCTATGACCTTTTTGCTGATGAGGTTCACTGGTAACTTGATCTCCCCACTCGGGATTGTGAACATATAAGTCACATTTGGGGATAAGTTGTACTCCAAAACGATAATAACTAAGTTCATAGTGGTCGATATTCTCCTAGCATATAATGAAATCATAGGACTTTTCATGCTGAATAGGCTAAGGGCGATGGTGTCGACCCGCAATATGGTGATGAAGTTCTCGGTGAGGACCAGCAATGAAGAGTTAAGAAGCAACCCGAGACACTCCAATGCTACCTTATGGTGGTCTCTCTACCAAAGAATGTACGATATGAGGCATTACTTATGGATCCTTGAAGTTTCACCAAATTCCTCCCGCAGTCGTGGTCGATGGAATCACTAGTCGAGGCACCCCTAAATAAAGCTCATCCTGATCAAGTTGTTAAAGTTAGGGTGACATTTCCCAAGGAGGAACGAGTACAAATTATCAATGTCCTTAATGAGAATGATGAGATGTTCGCATGGACATCAAAAGATATACCAAAAATCAACCCAAACGTAGCCCAACATCACCTAAGCATTTTCCCTTAGGCATGACCAATAAAACAAAGGCCTCGGAAGTTTGCTCTTGACCAATAGGAGTCAGAAAAATCCAACACGTATGAAGAGATATATGTCACGATGGAAACAACTCAAACTGTGAAAGCAAATCTCGATCACTAATGTGTCGGATGAACTAAATGTTGTATTTCAAACCTCTATTAAAAGAGTATCGAAGTGCACCTTTAGGGGGGGGGGGGGGAGTTCAAATGATAATTGATACATTGTCATTCGACATGTCACCACCATTTGGCGCCCAAAGAGAAAAGAGAAAACAAGGGAGGGGGGGGGGAGTTCTATATTGTCATTCGACATGTCATC